TTCTGAGCAGCTGGTTCACATGCACCTTGAAGAAATGAAGCAGATGACCAGGCTATCACGTCACGTTATCCAAAACAAAGATACCAAAGACACCTTCATCAAATACGACTTGACCAGGCTTTAGCCCGTCGAAAGCATGCCATGCCTAACAATTCAAAACAAAGCCCAGCAATGCTACTGCGCGCAAATCGTCGCTTTAATCATTTTCATTCCGTTGCTGAGAAGTCGCTATGACATGACACGCTACCAAATTAATCACTCAACTTTATATCTTCATGCCATTCCAACTCACGGCGTCCTCCCGTGGTGGGTTGCGCAGGTCCAACGCGGCTGGCCAGGCGAAGAGGCCCTTAGCGGCCCTTGGAGACACGGCTCTTGATGTTCTCAAACTCGAGGTCGTCGGCGTCGTTGGCTTGGATGTCGGCAGCGAGACCGTTGAGAGAGCGCTTGATGGCTTCCTTGGAGGACGAGTACATCATGCGGGGCTGTATGCAGTGTTAGTTGAGACTCTCATGACAACCCCGTCGCCGTCCGGATTGTTACGTACGTATTGTGGCGCATCATCGGGCGTCCAGCTGATAAAGGTGATCTTGCTCCTTGATCCCTCACCACTCTCAAGCTCATATTCGACATCGAAGACAGCATAGCGACCGCCAATGCCCTCCTTGCCCTTGCGGTCCTTGCTCTTGGCGTTGAGAAGCTTCTCGCGGAATACGTCAAAGTTGGCCTCCTTGGAAGTCTCTTCGACGACAATCTCCTTCCAGTCGTCGCTGATCTTGTAGATGATCCACTTGATATCCTTGCCGAGCTTGAGCTCGTTGAAGGTGCTAATGCACTCGGGAGAGACGGAGACACTGTGACGGTATTAGTACCAAGATAGCTGGTCGCTTGGAGGGCGCGCTAGGGTATTGGGGAGATTGGTATGAAGGTAAGATTGCGCGTGTGAGGGTCGGGCGGCGACTGCCGTTCATGTGGTGTGTTGTCTACAGGCGATCACTACGTACCCGGATTGAGCCTGCAAATCCAGTCAGCGCGAGTTGTTGTGTGAACAATGTGCACAAGCCTTACCATGATGTTGTGTGTGAAGTGTCGAGGATGTGAAAGGGGAGTTCAAGACACCAGGCAGCTTTATCAGTACTGTGTTGCCTGTCAGCTTCGTCATCATGGACTGCGATTGCCGTAGCACAACTAGGCAACAAAAAGCGGCAGTCGGGCTGTTTCGAGGAGGCGGGTGCAGCTTACTTCAATGGAGAGAACTGATTGTTATGGATGGCGTGTTTGCGGGAGGGAGGGCGGAGGTGGAGGAGCGGTGTTGCTGAGGCTGATGAGGCAAGTAGTGGGGTTATTTTCCAAGCGACGTACCTAGTGGGGTCACTCTCCTCGACCGGTTTATTTGCCTGCGCCGCGCCGCCACAGCAACCGACCATCGGCCTAAACCCCGGTCACCACATCCACTCTCTGCTGCCCAATGTCAACACATCAAAACATTCAAGTAGTACATGTCTTTGAACTGGTTCACATTTCCTTCGTCGCTTTTTACATCTCGCCCTTCCCAGGACGTCTTCTAGATACACAGTATTGTACAAAAAAACATCAAATAACCAATATGCCGTGCTTTTGAGAAAAAACCGTGACTGAGGAGCGGAGACCAACTCAATATCGTGTACATAAGCCATCACTGGGAGAGACGTAAGACTAAAGTCATAATAACGAAATGGGGGTATAAGAAGAAGAAAATAGACGGTCAGGCTTCAGCTGCTTAGAAACCCATTCCGCCCATTCCGCCCATGCCTCCCATACCGCCAGGCATGCCGCCTGGAGGACCGGCCTTCTCCTCGGGTGCCTCGACAATGGCAACCTCAGTGGTACCGAGGAGTGAGGCAACACCGCTGGCATCGACAAGGGCAGTGCGGACAACCTTGAAGGGGTCCAGAATACCAGCAGCAATCATGTCGACGTACTCGCCCTTGGCGCTGTTGAATCCCTTGTTGAAGTCGTTCTTGTGTTCGTCGATGAGCTTGCCGACAATGACAGAGCCCTCAGCACCGGCGTTCTCGACGATCTTGCGAGCAGGGTGGGTAATAGCGTTCTTGACAATGGTTATGCCAAGTTGCTGATCGAAGTTGTGCGCCTTGACCGAGTCGAGAGCGTTGGCGGAAGCCTTGAGGAGACCGGTACCACCACCAGGCAGAATTCCCTCCTCGACAGCGGCACGGGTGGCGTTGAGGGCGTCAACGATGCGGTCCTTCTTCTCGCCAACCTCAACCTCGGAGGAGCCACCAACCTTGATGACGGCAACACCACCAGAGAGCTTGGCAAGACGCTCCTGCAGCTTCTCCTTCTCGTACTCGGATGTGGTCGGGTCGTTGATGACACCACGGATCTGCTCACAACGCTGCGAGACCTGGTCCTTGCTGCCCTCACCGTTCAGAATGACAGTGTCCTCTTTGGTGATGGTGATGGATCCGGTAGAACCCAGCATATCCGGAGTAGCTTTCTCGAGCTTGATGTCAAGATCGTCGCTGAAGACAGTACCGTTGGTCAAGACAGCAAGATCGCCAAGGATGGACTTCCTGTTGTCACCGAAGCCAGGGGCCTTGACAGCGGCAACTTGAAGCTGACCACGGAGCTTGTTGAGGATGCAGACAGCAAGCGCTTCGCCGTCAATGTCCTCAGCAATGATAACAAGAGGGCGGCGGAGCTGCTGGGAAGCCTCAAGCGCGGGGACAATGTCCTGGACAGCAGAAATCTTCTTCTCGGAAAGGAGGATGAGAGGCTTCTCAAACTCAACCTTGGCAGTCTTGGTGTCGGTGATGAAGTAAGGAGAGATGTAACCACGGTCGAACTTCATACCCTCGGTGACCTCCAGCTCATCCTCGGTGGTCTTACCCTCCTTGACGGTGATGACACCCTCCTTTCCAACCTTCTCCATTGCGTTGGACAGGAGCTTGCCAATGTGTGTGTCACCATTGGCAGAGATAGTGGCGACCTGTGCAATCTCCTCGCTGGTGGTAATGTCCCTCTTGTTTGCCTTGAGGTAGTCGACAACGGCCTCGACGGCGGCCTGAGTACCCCGCCTCAGGTCCATTGGGTTACATCCGGCGGCAACGTTCTTAACAGTCTCGGAGAAGATGGCGCGGGCAAGGACGGTAGCGGTAGTGGTCCCGTCACCAGCAGCTTCGTTGGTCTTGCTGGCAACATCCTGAAGCAGGCGGGCTCCAAGGTTTTCGAACTTGTCTTGGAGGGTAATGGCCTTTGCGACAGTTACACCATCTGAAGCTTTGTCAGCGGAAAATTTGGGAAAAGACGGCTAAACATGTGCATACCCTTGGTAATCTTGGGAGAGCCATAGCTTGACTCAATCAATACGTTGCGACCCTTGGGACCGAGTGTTGTTGATACGGCCTTTGCCAGTGTGTCGACACCCTTGAGCAGTCCTGCTCGTGCCTCGACGCCAAACTTAAGCTCCTGTACGTGAATTAGTTTCTGCTAGCCAATTGAAAAGTACGTATAGCGACAATATACCTTGTGCGCAAATCTCTGTTGCTGGAGGCTCAAGCTGGTGGTGCGAAGCTTAGAGGTCGACTTTAGGGCCGAAGTCCGCGCCCGCGAAGCGAAAGCTCTTTGCATTGTGACGGAATTGAGATGTGTAGGTGGCGGTGGTGAAGCTCAAACAATGCTCCTAGACTCCAGCTCAATGCAAGGTAACCGAGAAGAGAGATTGGGTGCAGAGGAGGATTGTGGAGAAGAAATGGACGCTGCCATATGTGTAGAAAATTCCAAGGAATCATCGAGAAGTCGGCGCTCGGACCACATCACCACTAGCCTCGGCTTTAACACCTTCACTCCGCCTACAGCCTCACATTGCCCTTGACAATTTCTTAAGACTTATGCAATTGAGTAAACTAATCGGGTGTATTTATTGTATTTCTCGTGATCCCGGAGGTGTTGTGACCGTTGCTGCCATAGTGTCCGGATATGCTACCATTTCGACTCAAGAATAACACACCACGCTTGATCAACTTCAAAGCCAGTGCCGAACCTGGAAAAAACTTCTCGCTGGTTGGATCCCAGGCGCACTGCCTGCGAAAATTCTCTATCAATCCGGTGGTTTTCTATCCATGTTAACTTCATTATGAAGTCCCGGGGTTTACCCCGTACCCTGTGCCTAGCTCTTTCAGCCTTACACTGTCTGGTTGTACAATGTTCAGTCATATTTGCAAACCTTCATCCTCGGTCATACTTTCCTTAGTGTCCTGGATTTTCTTGTAGGTCTCTCCGATATACTGACGGGCATCAGTAAAGACCTTAATTGATATGGTTTTATCATCATGGCCATCATCTCAAACGATTTTCCAAGGTTAGTTGAGTGTTGATTCGGCTTTGGCACATTGCTATCCTCCCGACTATAGTTCTCCAGTGAAGCGTCCGGATGATCTCATGGCACGGTGATACACCAACGTCTTTATAAAAGGTAGGATAATTCTTTCCTACCGCTTGTCTTAGTGCATCATCCATGATTGTTGTCTGCTCTTATGGCGCCATGGAAGTGCTTCACGACGCTTCATGCGTGTTACTTTATCATCTATGTATGCTCTAAAAACTCAGATGGATGTTCCAGACCATCTGGCTGGCTATCCGAAATCCGGTGCGCGCATGCGACTGGTGACGTGCCGTACAGTGACGAATGTTGAGGCTGTGCTCCACTAGCACACCGTTCATAGCAGGCAGAAGCAGGCAAACGAGAATAGTCAGCTCCGGCGTTTTCAGCTGAAGCCACTTACCAGCTTTTGAAATATCGCTACATATGCGTTGCGCGAATCAGCCTTCGCACATTTGATGCACCTTGCATGACCGAAGCGCTTGACATCCTTTTCGGACTAGTTATATGTGCTGTCAGGTGCCCCTGCGATAAGTCATAAAGCTGAGGCCATTGAGATACAAAGACACACATTCCAGCTTTGGAATTCCCTCTTCTCCAGTCCGAAAGAAGAGCCCAGATGCCGCTACCTCGCCGGATAGCTGACCTAGCGTTGGAGCGCACAAGGCAATCTCGGCGCCGGCCTCTGCTTCCATCCACGCGAGCGCAAGGCCCAGTTCAGGATACTTATACCGCATATGACGATTTTGGATGGGATCAGATCGAAGAATACCTGAGAAGCAAATGGCCAGTCTGGAATTTCAAGCCGATGAAAGTAAGTCACGCCCATGAGATGGACGACGAATAATTGACAAGTCAACCAGTATAATGGTAACTGGCTCTTTGAAGTCCCCGAGAGACTGAATGAAGTGGGTCCAATGCTTCCTCGCTGCAAGCGCATTGCTAAATATGTGTCAGTGTGACCGGAGAGAGCTGAGGCGCCGAAGGGATGCACCCAAACGAACAAGGCGGGCCACGACTTCACCGGAGCAGGAGCAGGAGCCAGACCCAGAGTCGAGTCCAGTTTCAACTCCATAAGGATGAGCGGTAAATTAATTCAGAGCCTTTAATAGATACCAGGCGTGTAATGTTGATGCTTCTGTTCTGTGTAGAAGCTTTGGCGTGAGTGGGGTGGATATGTACGTACTACGCGGGGAAGGACCCGACGAAGGGTTTGGCGGGGCCCCCAGAACGCCTTCCACCTGCAACCTTCATGCAGCAAGGCGCAGTAAATCTGCCTTGCAATAGTCGTCTTATTTAATTCCTTTCGAGAAACCATGATCCTCACATTTTTTCACTGTTACTATTCAAATTTATCGTTGCAATTAACCCAGCATCCAGCAGTGGAATCATGCATATCCTACCAGTTGATCTCGAGAAGTCTTATCGGGATAGTAAGAACTACCCAGAAAATATTATACCTATTGGGATCGCAACCTACAGTTCACGACTCAGGTCTTACAAGATGCGCCTGGATGCTGCCGAATTTGATCTGTGTCTTGGTCCCAGTGACGGCGATATTGACGAAATCTTTGAAATCCCAATGATTGATCTGGGTACTTGTGACGACAAAGGTTGGCCAGATTCCAATGATTTTGAAAGATACTAAAAAGTTCAGGAGCTCATAGAAGATACATACACTCTTCGACGAAGCTCACCGAATGGCTCGGCATCACCCTCGCACCGGATACATGTGGCCCCAGCCGTCAGCATTCTACGGTGCAAAAGAGGGATCCAAAATGCCGATTCATGTTAGTTAGTTCATGGCCTTTTGAATCTCTCATGCTGATCACACAGATACCTGTACGGAGAGAGCTCACGCGACAAACTGAAAATAACACGTCAAAGTCTTTGTGAAATTTTGTCTTACCACGGAGTCATGCCCGTATACCTGGACTTTATGCTCGTCTTTGGTGGTCAGACTGATGCAAGAGATCTTCGCTTCAGTGGTTTCCGAGAGCAGATATGCCTCAGAAATTCTACAACTGGACATGCAGCCCCTGAATTGGGTCGGAGTGGCAGCCTCTTCCAGCTCTGCTACAACTTGAAGGGCGTACAATCCAGGAAAACGAGCGATGAAAACATCAGGCTCCATGTTTGGACAATTCGAGACGCCGCAATCTACCACCAATTCGATGTAAAGTATGGGACTACCCTCTGGATTGTGACAAAAGGTGGGAGAGACATATTGGATCGGTTTTTAGAATTGAGTGGACGACCAGAGGACAGTATGTATCACGACTACATAGCGTGCTTTCGATCAACACTTGTGACGCATTTGCTTTATTGCCACTGGTCAACAGAAGACTGGAGATGGTATATCGTGTGGCTCGAGAGAATGATAGACCTAGAAGTAGGTATTCGTACCCAGAAAAGTTTGCAAGCTAACTTTAGAACTCACAGAGTGGTATGGCCGTGTACGGCCTCCGTATTCCAGGCTGCGCTTATAGAGAATACGAACCATGGGATATACAAGATTTGCAACATTGGCAGGACAGAACCAATGCAGCAGTCATGGTCCTACAGTCCAATGCTAAAATCGTAAGGGTGCTACATGGCTTCTACACTCGATTGATTTCTCGAGAAGATTTCCCCAGTGATCTGCACATGGCCTGCAAAGATGATCTGCACGCTTTCTTTTCACAGCTTGATGAGATCCTGGGGGATTTTGATATGCAGATTACCCGCGCTAAACTTCTAGCAACAACGATAAATGACAGAAAAGAGCTGGTAGTGCAGCATCTACACAGCCAAGCTTCAGAGCGAACTGAACAGCTGAACAAGAATCTTGAGCGAGAAGCGATTGTCATGCGAATCATTACGAGTGTCACGCTGCTTTACCTGCCAGCAACGTTCGTATCAGTAGGTTCATTATCATTTGCTAGGCACCTCTCACCGTCTGACTCATGGTAGACCTTCTTCAGCACGGATGTTATCAAATATCAGGATCAGAACCAAGATTCTGCCAACTACAAAAATGGTTCCTTCTCTAGCCTTGCGCTGAAGCGCTGGCTCCAGGTCACCATTCCTCTGACATTTGTAACTTTACTTGGGGCATGGTCAACCTATCGTTCCTACAACACCACTGTGGAAAGGTTCCCATTCTCCGAGAGACTGAAGCGCCTCGTGCCCGGCTTGGCAGCATCTCCGACGGATTCCCGTAGTACACGAGGGATGGCCCAAGGCGACTCTCATCCAAATTCTGGAAGCGACGCAATTCGTATGCATTCGCTGCCTCGTGGCAGTGCTGTTTAACCTTACCGGGAGAGCCAAGACGAGGCTGGTACGGCGGGGTCGGGAGGCAGCGCTTACGCGTAAGTAGGGAAGGAGCCTTTGCTGGTACAGCCTAGATCACCAACGCATCAGTCTGAGATTGCCTGCTTCAGTTACGTTTCTTAAATACAATGCAATAGCTCTAATCATGACGTGCTCTGTGTACCTAATATTTCTTTGTGGTGTGTTTGTAATGCGCGCTGGGGCGAAAGCTCAGCCCCATTGCCACTGGCCTGGGTCAGTCGAGAGGACGTTTATTGCACCCCTCCACACGAAAAATGGCACTCTGGCCGAGCTATCCCCCTTTCGGCGGATGATCAAGCTGCTAAACACGGAATAGATCGGTGAGAAAGTGTGACATCCTTGTATAATTGGCTTGCTGCAAGCCGCCAAGGCATGCTGTCGATCCATTGGCACGGCCTCCAATCTGTGATGAATCGCCAGGCATCTCACCTGCGACACCAAAGCTCAGCTATCACGAACTGCTCTTCTCATCCCATTATCACTAGCTTATCGCAACGCATATGTCTTGCAGGAACGGCTCCAACACCCCGTTTGGCTTACACTGAACACATGTTCACATCTGGCGCACTGGCCGCCACTCCAGCACCGGCTTTCGTCGGCTATTTCGTGACGCTGTTGCCAGTTGTGTCGCTGCTGGAAACCACGTCAGAATGCAGGCCGTACCTCAAGAATATAAACGTTGTCAACGTCGTCAACGTATCGAGGATGAATTCAAATACCTCTTGCAATCAGTATGGACCCGTCCAGTCGCCTGCCAGAACGAGTGCCAGCCTCTAGACATGTGCAGTTGCCAGCGCAAAATTGTACACGTGTATGCACTCGAAAGGTGGTGGAACGAGCGAGACCCAGAGAACCCTGACCAGACCAGAGGGCATCGATTCTTGGATGAAACGCCTCCAGCGCCCTATCGAACCTTCCAGGTCAGGTATCAAAATGTCTTTACTGGCGAACAGTCCTGCCGCCGTGTCCTTAGCTTGCTTCTCGAACAAGGCTATCCTCATCTCATTGACCGCTTTTACCGCGCAGATATTAATGACAGATACCTTATGCGCAGCGAAGATGATCACCGTCTCCGCGAAAGCTTACTTGAAGTTCACTCGCGAAAGGAAGTGGATTGTATCATCCAAGACTTCCACAGAGCCAAATGGGCATACTGTCCGTTGTATTTGACCTTAGACATGGACGTCAACCTACATGGAACAAAGGTCATAATACCTTTCTGTAACAAGATTAAGCTTTCAGACAAAGGGGGGACTGCTTCAATATACTGGGTGGCCGTGCAAAAAGATCTCGTTACAGACACCGCCCTAACAGATGCTCTACAAAAGTCACTTTACTGGGACGATGAGTTTGGAGAGGTAAAATTCCCAGTCAGAACGGCGTTGAGGCATATACTAAAGGCTGTTTAGTGTTATCAGATGGTTCTCAAGTCGTATTGTGGAAACAAAAAGAGAGATTTCGAGCTAGAAAAGGAAGCCTTCTCTGGCCTCGACTCGAAGAAAGGCGTGCCGATATTACAATGTCTGGGTTCCTACACTCATGATTATGGTGAAGGCAAAGATATGGGAAAGACCTATAACCTGTTGCTAGAGTATGGGGATCATGATCTTTACCAGGCATGGGCGGATGAGACCAATGTTCCTCCCGTGAGAGCTCAGGAGATTCTCCGAACATGGGACTCACTCTTCGAAATTGCCAAGGCTATTCGTCACATACACAATCTTGAAGTTCCACGAGGTGGTAAGAGTGAACCACGGAGATTCCATGGGTATGTACTGGAAAGAAACTTTTCGAGAGCCCAAACTAAAAACAATCAGCTGGCACGCAGACATTAAGCCCGATAACATTCTCAGCATACGAAAGAAGTTGAAACTAGCGGATTTCGGGTTTTCGAGTTTTGCTCCAGTCATTGAGGGACATGATGGCTCAGTCCCAACAGAACTGATTAGGGGGTTCACTGATACTTACGGTAAGTCAGGAGAATGGTGAATACGTGGGTGTATTTTCTAAGATTCCTTAGGCGCTCCTGAAGTATTCCGTATGAGAAACCCAGATGGAACTTCTTCAGGTGTCTCCCAGTCAATCGACACCTGGTCATTCGGCTGTGTACTATCCGTGGCTGCAACCTGGATAGTTTTAGGGTTCCAGGGAATACGCCAATATGAACAACTCCGACAACTTGCTCCTGCGAACTGCCAAAACGGAGAAATCTACGATCGATTTCACGACGGCTTCAATGTTCTTCCGGAGATAAGGAAATGGCATGATTACCTTAGAGGGCACCTCCGCCCTTCAGACACTACCACAGAGCTAGTGTTAGCTTTGATAGAGGATGAGCTACTTCAGGCAGACTTGAAGAAGAGGCCTGACTCTGAGGAACTTTGCAAAAAGCTACAAGAAATACACACTTCGGCAGAGAAAGGAATTTCATGTCTGAAAGGACACTCAAAAGAGACTGACGCTGTAGTGCTCAAGGCACTTTCCGAGATTGAAGATAAAGCTCGAATCCAAAGGGGCTCAGAAATGAAGTCGAAATCCTTTCTACAGGTACTCATACCAGCAAGCGCTAGTCAGATCAATCCTCGACAGTGGGCATCGATGCAGATCCGCAAAGAGGATATCATCAAGAGCAAACCTCTGAGTCAAACGCCTTACCGCAAGGATATCCTGAGGCAAGAACTAGGAGCAAGGAGCAGCAGTCTCTCTGAAAACAAAGAACATATGCTTGACGTTCACAATGGCGCAGTCACTGAGAGTCCTGGCGATGACGCGGATCTGTATGAGATACCATTTACTGGTCGCTCTAAGAAGCCCAGAAATTCTGATCTACAGGGGATTGACCGGCAAAAGTCCGGCACACAAAGCAATAAGACAGACAGTGAACCTGATAGCCCAATAGCCACTCCGTCAACACCAACGTCAACTCAGCGGCGGAACAAGATTCACGAACAAAACACATTTGTTCTTGACGTAACTGCACCTACAACGGAGCCCTTTCGTGCACACGGCAATCTGAATTCACGCCAATCAGACAGAGTGATGGAAGAGACATGTGAAACCGCTTCGAAAGGGCTTTCTAGTTCGACTGGCAAATTAGCGTCAACTGTGTCTCCACTTCCGCAGATCAATACGCATATGGCTCCTCAATTTCCATCTTACATCCTTCAATTAAAGGCTCCTCGTAACACTGAGCATTTGGAACTATCACCTCTAGAACAACATTCGCAGACGTATGGTAACATGCAGAGCACCGTCCCAAGACCGACAACTTCGAGCACTACAAACTCTGCTTATGCCGACAAACAGGTGTACGAGCCAACAAGCACCTCAACGCTTCGCGCAAATGACGTCAGGAGCTTCGGTGCAACATACCCCTTAAATTTTTTCACCTCTCATACGACGAATGAGCACACGAGGGCGCGTTATCCGAGTGAACATTCTGACAGAAATCACGCTGCGAGAAGTCCACGTACAACTATGTCGCATGAGACGGTAGACTTCGTTCGAGAACCTCCAACATCCGTACTGAACCTACCATACAGCATATGTGTCAGAAGAAGAAGACTAGAAAACGAAAAGCAGAGGGGGTTTGCAAAGATAGCAAGCAAAATGGGTAAAGAGACTAGGAAGCCAGATCCTACACTAAAGGACATGCTCAAAGATCGTCGTGAACTGGTAAGGCTACTCAAATTATTCTCAATCAGTGACTAATGTGTGTGTTAGATCTTTGTCATTGATAACGGCTGGACGATGTTCGACCACTGGCCAATCCTGACCTTTGTCGTCGAAACACTTGCAATGAACGCTGCAGGTATCGACAAGACTGGCATCGACCTTCGCTTCACCGTAGAGGGATCTCGGCATAATGTAAACGATATTGTAGGAGATTACGGGCGGAGGATGCTAAAAGAAAGGTTACGAGCAGCCTGGCCCGAACCCAAGCCAAAGCCCAGCGCAACAACCGACATGACCGCCATCCTCGAAAACATCTACAAAGAATGGCACCGCAACCGCCGGCCAGCAACAACCCTCTACGTCTTCACCGACGGCAAATGGTTCACCGAAAGTCTCACCACCGTCCACCTCGTCGCCCAAAACCCAAACTCCCCCCACGAAATCATCCGCAACCCGCCCCCTCTTCACAGAGCCATCATGGCCTTCGCCGAACATGATCGCAGTAGTACAGGCAATCGCCACTTCAGCATCCAATTCATCCGCTTCGGCGACGACCCCACCGACAAAGAGCACCTCCGATGGCTTGACGACCACCTCTGCGAGAGTCACAGGCTCAGAGATATCATCGACCACTGCTCTTGGCGAGCTCCGGTTGACATGATATTCAAAGGCAGCATCGAAGCCTACTTCGGCGAGAAAGAATTCGATGAACCTCCCATCATGTACGAATACAAGGTGCTAGTGGAAAAGTTCGACAGATTCAACAGGGGCGAAGAGTATCAAGAGAGTGTTGAAGACGCTACACGCTCATCATTCTCTTTTGGATCCTCGTCTCCCACTCAGCCGCCGTCATACATTTCGAGCTCCGGGTCTGCTCCCAAATATACAAAACCAAGACTAGGATTGGCGGAGACACCAAGGTCTCAGACTAAGCGCTTTTCGATGCTTTCCTAACGTTCGCTTCTGTTTTCGTTTTTGCTCAAGAGTTCGCGTGTACACACACACAGTAGTAACTTCTTTGTATCCCTCTCATTCTGCAGCACGATAGCCTGACGAAGGTTGCTCTATTCTTTTATTTTTGTTTTCAAGTTCACACGCTGGTTGCATATTTTGTTAGTACCATTGCATTCGTGGCGCTATGATCATTGCACAGGCGTGCTTTTCTTTTCCAATGTTCTTTTGTGTTGCAAAATTCAAAAAAGCGTGGGATCTTAGAGGCGCCAGAGGCTGATGTACCAATACCGTGACGATTTCTTTTTTTTGTTTTTCTGCGATCAATAGACGAATGCAGATGCTTCCAGGTTTCACGAATGTCACACCATTGTTATCGTTTTCTATCTACTTGCTATAGTCATTGATCTTCCAAGTCAGCGTTGAAATTTGAATGTCTGTTTGACAAGTCCGAGTCTGTTTAACATACAGTCAGACTGGGCAACCATGAATTTTTTGATTCGTTCAATCTAAAACAAAGTAAATATTTTTATCCAAGACACTGAGCGATTCTCACGCTTCGCACTACTTTGCAGATTTCTCCTGTCATGAAGAACGTCACAATTTCAACCATATAACGCATGTTGACATCATGTACATTTTAGCTTGATACCACTACACCAAAGAAAGAAGTGAAAAAAAACTGCTTGTAAAGACAGTTTCATGAACAGAGTAAGCTTAGTTGTGATTCATCAACCTCCGTCTCCAGCGCCAACGAACCAGACGCTCTCCCTCGTATCTAATCCTCGGTCTCTCAATCTTCTTCACGCCTTCTCTTAAAAATCGGTTCCTTCTCAAGACTATCCACGATTCACCTGTATACGGCGACGCAGCATACTTGCGGGCAAGTGGTAAGGGTCTCATGCGAACAGAAGGCGTGGTCTCGCGGAAGAGTCGGCGCAAAAGCTGTTTGGTTTGTCTTGAAACAACTGGCTTTGCTGGAATATAACCTTGGACAGGACGAATGGGTATCGCAGCTTTGATTGGAGGAGGGATAAATTGGTGGCTTCTGAGGCGAGTGGGCCTACGACGAGTCACTCGGCCAGGTACACGCATCAACGATGCAATTACTTCTCTGAAGGGTGGTTGAGAAGTTGCTTCATTAGACAAAAGTTCAATCAGTTTCTCACCTTCGGACTGAGCTGAAGGTTCAGACACTGAAGTTGCACTGAGGCTCGGGGTTGTCGCTAATCCAGTTACTTCGCCGCTTCCGGTTGGGTTCGCTTTTTCAGTTCTTAAGTCCAGCCGCCGCCAAGCAGGTTTTTCTCCGTCAGTTTGGTCATTCAATTTCGCTCGTGTACCAGTTTTACGGTTGCGTTGTCGTGTCTCCCTCGAACTTGGGGTTCCGCCGAATGTATTTGTAGGTGGAGGAGCCGAAGTAGGTGTCCGAACTGTCGTGTAGACAGTACCTTTTACAGCAACGCCACCTGTTGGACCTTCGATCCATAAGTCGTATATGCTTCCATTTTGCAGTGTCTTCTTCTCCATTCCACAAACGCGCATTTCCTCGTCACAATACAATGGCGCAAGATTACGATATTCAATAGACTCCACAACCTGTTCTCCCTTGGTATGCGTTTCCAGATGATTGTTCATGAGTTGCAGCATGAGCGTCAGGGAGAGGGGTCCATGGACCAGGAGATTGCGGTGACCTTCAACATTACGAGCATAGTCGGGATCAAGGTGAATGAGATGAGCATTGAAAGTGAGAGCAGAGAAACGGAACAGAAGTGCACGATTGGGAGTGAGGGTATGGGAGAAGAGAGGATCCCTGGGAGCTATAAGTAGTCAGCAAGCAGCTCACACAGCTGGTCAGAGTACGCACGATCTAGATATTTGATAGAGGCCATCTGGCCCGCCTTGATAGCGTCGAGTTCTGCAGCACTGCGTTCCTTGAAGAAGACCAGGTTGCGCTCCTCTTTGAGAACGGCATTGCCCCAGGCTTCGTCATTGCTTAGTTGGTCCTCGAAGTAGCTTTGAATTTTTCGCAACCCGGTGGCTCTGCCCAACGATCCGTGGAGCGCTCTGTAGCTTTCTTGTAGGGCGTCTAGTCTTGCAAAGCGGCGCTCAACGGTGACAAAGATCTTGGCAGTATCGTCCTGCCCGTGCAGTCGGACATGCTTGATATGCTCGATACCAGCCATGGGCGTGTCTACGGCGAAGCCTCGAAACTTATCAAAGTAATCGTTCGGCTTTGCCTGCATTGAGCCTCCTGCCCACATGCGTCGCACCCAAGGACCTCCTGGTGAATGGGATGCGTCTGTTCCATCCGGAAGTAGATCATGAGTAGGCAGCGATGGATTGAACCATATCAAATGGTGGCCAAAAGGAATTATTTGATTTCGCCTGCCTGGAGCATGACAGAAATCTCGGGGTAGGAAACCAGTCAGCGTCTGCGAGAGTTTGTATTCGGGTGGAGCGGTCAAATGCTCAGGCAGATGGGTCGCGCCCCGCTGCAGCATTTGAGTGCGCAGCTCCTGGAACCATTGCGGATCGCCTGAGCCTGCCGTCGCGGCATATCCTCGCCGCAGTATGCATCGCAGTTGTATGCGGCGCGACAAGGCCCAGCCAGTTCGTCGTGTGCAAAGTACGTGGCGCAGCATGTGAAGAGACTTGTGCGAGTGTGCTCCATCCGATTTCAGAAGTGCATGGGCTGGTCTTGGCGAACCAATGACGTGCTCCATGTGTACTACATGGATACAAATTACGGGTTCTGAGTAGACAATCTCTTCTCGGAACACTTCATTCCTGATATCAGTGCTCATGACAATCTTGCCACGGAATGCGCTCTTGCCATGGCCTCATCTCTCGCGCTGCCAACATGGCATCGCCGTGTCCTCGCATCCATTAATTTGCTGTTGCCGATGAAGCGTCCCGCCCAGGCCCACACTGCGAACATCAAGCTCGCCATTCACATGTCCTAAACGCAACAGTAGCAAAACCTGCCTTTACATCTCTTCGTTCGCAAGTGTAGTTCATCATCCATATTTCTCGGTCTTGGCGCGCCTGATTGATTGGCTGTCCTGGCAACAGCCGGACTTATACCTTCACCGTATTCTTGCAGCCGACCACAGTACTTCCTCAAAACAGCATCTTCTCCACTTCTACTTTTCCTCAGTATGTCTTATTTTTGCCCGTCTCTTGGTTTAAACTTTTCATTTGCGTTTGAACTTCGTGCGTTCGTCATGCTAAGCCCCGTTAGCACGCAGCAATCGCTCCAGCAGTGTCATTTGTACACGCACTAGGTGACGGTTGACCTCACTGCCAAGACCAAGCCTTCAACGTCCATGATTTACTACATAATCTTGAATCCACTTGAGTGCCGTTAAGACATATGATACTCTGGATATCGTTTGTACCAATACAGAAGCCAGCATGAAGCGTCTCGAATGTCCCCTGTGCGACTTCACCATTCTCTCAAAAGATGGCTACTTCCTTCAGCTGCATTTCGAGCAAGCTCATACCACCGACTCTCCCTTCATTATCCAAGATGATCCGGAGCCGTTGCGATCTTCATTACCACCCACGCCTGTATCGACGGGCAGCAACGACGAGCACGCGTCTTCCTCTTCCGACTCTTGCGATTCTGATTCTGACTCGGATTTGGACTCTGATGATTCTGACCAAGAAGAAAGAGCCATCAAAAGTCCCACCTCTGATTCTTACGAGCTTGTTTCTCCTTCTGACCCCGACGATCATATCGATTATCGCCGCGTAGAGGCTTTATCATTCGACGAGACTACCCCAAAATATCACTCTAAACGTTCATCCGCTACTATGCACAGCTCATCTTCCACCCATCGCTCACATAGGCGTCGTGCTACGAGCACATCCGTCGAGCACAACGCGAAAACAGACACGCGCGCTGCCTCGAAGAGGACCGACGGCCACAGCCGCAGATCAACCAAGCATGGTCCTCGACGCCGACGGAATACAAATGACAGTGATAAAACTACCATAAGCAGAAGTATCCTAGGGTTTAGCCCATTCACAAAGTCTCATAAGAATGCCAAGCCGCCATCTAAGAACGCCCGTCTTGACGTAAGTCTATTGCCACTCACTGCAATACTTTTTGACTAACTATGTTAGAAATCTGACCTAGGTGAGTATGCTTTTGAAGAGCGCATGCCAGAATGGCTCCACAGGCAGCTTAGTGCCGGCCCCGAGATCACCCTGGTCAATCGCATTGGACGGGACGGTCGCCTCATCAAACATGAGCAGGTGCAAAATGAGACGCCAGGCATCATACCTATTCTTGCACAGCTGTCCGCCTTAGACCGCACGGTACAGCAGGCATATTATTGTCACCCTTCTACCATTCACGTTGGAAAAACACCCCATGAGGGTGGCTTCTGTGGTTACCGCAACATTCACATGCTTCTCTCCTACATTCAAGGTGCTAAAGCACAGGGTCACGAAGAATTTCCTGGTCGATTGCCAACCATCTTGAAGGTGCAGGACCTCATAGAGGAAGCCTGGGATAACGGAATCAACTCGATCGGCCGTGTCCAGACCGGTGGCATTCGCAACACAAGAAAGTACATTGGTACTCCAGAGGTATGCACTTCCACGTCACTTCGAGGCTATTTCTGACACCCTTACAGGCGCAAGCATTTTTCCTCAACGCAGAGATCAATTGCGCCGTAGAAGTGTTCTTCACCACAGAAGATCGCAAGACCTTGGCCCACAGAACACTTCTTACTGCCGTAGAGCGATATTTTGCCCAAGCAGCCACTGACGATGGCTCCACTGTATGCAAGACCCTACTACCGCCTATTTATCTCCAGCAGCCAGGTCACTCCCTTACAATTGTTGGATTCGAACGCCACTATGATGGCACTTGCCACTTAGTCGTCTTTGATCCCATGTACCATACCACACCCGCCATGCATAAGTTGCTCGGACGTAAGAATATCAAAACTGCTCGGCCCGAAGTTCTCCATAACTATCGACGCGGCTCTCGTAAGCTTAGAAAGTTTAAGGCTTTTGAAATCTTGATGTGAGCGTTTTATCTTTGATCGTCAATGATCAGCCGCGTACTGACTGATTACAGGCTCACGGCAACACCACCTTTGTTCCCCGCTTGGGATGTATGAGCTTCCACCCCAGCCCTTTTTGTCATTTGTATAGATATTCAGCATATTTTACCGAAATATTTCATATTGATTCATGCCATACAACCACGCTCACAACCTTCTTCCAATTTCTTGAAATTACCTGCGCTAAATGTACATTTTGTAGGTTCTTCGCCAATTTCCTGATTGTCGCTTTGTATACGTCTTTTTTCGTGCTCGCAGCCTTGGATACGATGTCTACCCTGAGGATCATTTTCTCCCGACCTTTCCGTGGCAGCAGTACGGTGGACTATGGTCTTGTGACGATGCTCGTTTTGCCAGAGCAGAGCCTATGGACGCCCTCACTTCTCAAGCTCTTCGGCGTATCACAGGCCTTGGAAGCTCTTTTGATTCTAGCAATGGTAGCAGTCCTAGAAGCCCCACTAGCTTCTTTACTTGCAGTTCTTCTCCACACACGCTAGCCACTGAGTACGATGGCCTTCCATCATGGGGATTTGCACTCGACGGTACTGCGAACAGCTTCATCAACTCATCGCAGCCTACCGGAAGCGGTGCAGTTTTCAATATGGGACCTGTCAGCACCGTCTTGCCACAGCCAACGGCAGTGAAACCATACCTCTCACTCTTGACAGAAGTCGGCAGAAGATATCCAGGCTTTCCTACACCCCTTTCCCCTACCACAAGCGCAAAGGATCTATTCCCCTCTCCAACTTCCAACCCCAGCATCATGTCCGGAACACCCCGTATCCTCAGCTCCGCCATAACCCCCGCTAGCCCCATGAGCATCGACGGATCCGAAATGTGCGGACCCTCCCACCGCTGCGAATCCCACAGCTACGACCACTACGCCCCCCACCTCGACTCCATCGACCGCATCCTCAACAAACAAGTCCACAGTCTCCCTCGCACCCCATCCGCTTCCCATCACAGTATCGCAAGTCCCCCGCTCAGTAGCACCTCACACTACACATCCCCCGGCATCCCACCCATCCACTTCCCCAACAATCCCCCTCCCCCATCCATCCCCATAGCAAACGGCACAGAATACGAAACCCCATCCCCCCTCTCCCCCTCCGGAACCCGCCTCTCCTACACCTCCAACCGCAACGTCTCATCCGGCCTCCTCGCCGTGCCACCCCTCTCCGAGCACCAAGTCGCCGAATACCGCTTCTGGCGCCCCTGTGGCCGCCGTAACTGCGGGTTTGGCTGTGGAGGACGCGATGTCGGCGAGGTGGCGGCTGCGAAGAGGTTGTTCAAGGATGTGGAGGATGTCATGGTTGAGGAGGAGGAGGAGGAGGAGGGGAGTAAGAGGGTCAGGAGTGGAGGTGGTAAGGATGGGGTTGGGTGCGATGACCAAGGGGAGGAAGCGGGCAAGTCGAGTGTTTGGGCTGGACGAAGGTTGGTTACTGATTGGAGTAGTTTTTTGAAGGATTGTGAGAGGGAGGGTGTTGCGTCGGTTTGACAGTTAGTGCTTGTCTGATTTGGGGGGGAGTTGAGTCCACTTTATCGTTTGTGTAGGGGTTTAGGATAGGGATTGGTCTTGGTAATTCATTGTTCTCTTTCTTTCTTTCTTTCTTCCTCGACTCGACTTTTAGGCATAATTGTCCTTCACAACGATCAAAACATGAATAAATTTCCATATTTGAATGATATTCCAGAAAAAGGGTATCAAATTGTGACCTTTCATCAACGCCAAAACTAATGCTTACAAATGCTACATAGCACACACACCCTTCTTTTTTTGTCATCTCCGCCACACATCTGGATGCAAATACTCTGTAAGGGAACAAGTCTAATCGCTATCACTGCCATAGTCCACCAACGGCCCCGCCGCAGGCGCCGGTCTCTTATTCGACGGCGCAGCCTTGAACCCCTTAAGCGCCGCCAGGGTACTACCAGACAAAATACCGCTGTTCTGCTGTTGCTGTTGCGTGGCACCGGTGTCGAGTCCCGGATTCATATCTTGATATGTGTTATCCCCGGCCTCAATCGCCATTCTGTCGCTTGCACCACCCGCTTGGAGTTGCTTGGCTGCTTCCCACTCGCCCTTTTCCTTTGCATACCACACATCATCTGGTGCCTCGTAGCCCTGGAGTCCAAAGCTACCTTCGACTTTGCGCCGCTTCTTGCCCTCCGGGTCTCTGCCTTCGAGCTCGGCCACGTACGCCGCAGGTAGCGCCTTTCTAATTGCCTCTGCAGCCTGTTCCTCGATGCGTCTGGCCTCGCGCTTGGCAGCCTGGGGGTTGGGATCGACGGTTGCCCAGCGGACATTGAGGATCTCGTTGTGGTCGAAAGACTGGTGGTCCATTGCTTCTTTTGCAAACTGGCTGTTTGCCTCGTTCATGTATGTGACGAAAGCTACACCACGCGCTGTTAGGACACGCGTCCGTTCAATCTCGCCCCATTCCTGCATGTGCCGTGCGACAACTTCTTCGATGTCGTCAGTTGGGTGGATGCGCCCAATGTACAGGGTACGGTTTTGGCGCTGAAAGGTTCCTACACCGCCCATGTCATCGCGGTAGTCGGCATGCTTGTCGCGCCCGAAGCAGTCGACGTTGCTAGGGAAAATGTCCGTTACTGTGGGCAGGCGGTGCAGGTATTCGCAATCTACTCCTTTGGGACAAGTGCCGCGCGCGAAGAAGAGACAAAAGTACGCGCCGGGTGTCTTGTCGGCCTTTGTGTAGCCGCTGTCTCTTGCTATGTTGCAGCGACCTTGCGCGGGAGTCTGAGAGAGGTATTTGTCTTCACGGTCACCGCCCGACCACTTGTTGTACCAGACATTGTAGATTGTGCCTGTTTGCGGGGTTTCCTGGGTCTTTATTTCCGCAGGGTCGATCTGAGGGCGGGCAGGTCGTCGTTTGCGCCGGATGATCTTCTTGACTTTCTTGCCTTCGGCATTTGTTGTAATGATAGTTTGTTCGGTCGTGTGAACGAGTTCGTTTGATGCGGATGGTTCGAGAGATTTATCAGTCGCGAGCGACGTTTGTGCGGGTTGTGTATCTGTCATGGCTGTGGCGATGTCAAGGTTGTCGTAGTAAGGGAAAGATGTCGCGACGGAACTTTCGATAGGACGAGGCGCTAGTGCAGGTCGCAGATCAACGTGCACGTGATAGCGTAGCTTCACTGCCTCGCTCTCCCATTGGACAATCATGAGCATCGCTTTTGTATTCCAAAGATCAGTCACCAGATGTGTTTGTTGTTTTATGTTTCTTCCAAATTCACTTACTCGAATCTCCTATCGCCAAAACCTCATTTACTGGTAGTACTACTCATCTTAACTGCCCCATCAATCTCCACCACAGCACCATTGACATACCTCGCCCCATCTCCAAACAAAAACGCCACAACATCCGCCACCTCCTCCGGCGTCCCCAATCTCTCCAGCGCATTTCCATTCCGCATCCTCTCCACCGCCTCTCCACCCTTCACAATGCCCGCATTTGACGGCGTATCAATGTACCCCGGCGCCACGCAATTGACTCTGATGCCCCTGGGCCCAAACTCGAGCGCATGCGACTTGGACATGCCAATAAGCCCAAACTTGGTAGTACAGTATACAGACTGCAGAGCTGAGCCGCGGACGCCACTAATGCTCGAGACGTTGACGATTGCCGAACCGCGCTCAAGGTGAGGTAGACATGCTTGTGTGACGAGGAAGACGCCCTTGAGGTTTGTATTTACCAACTTGTCCCAGTACTCTTCGCTCGTGTCTTCGACTTTCATACTGGTTGGGTTCACGCCTGCACAGTTGAATACATAGTTCAGGCCTCCTAGTTGCTTGACCGTATTGTTGACAAAGCTTTCCACATCCTCCTTCTTGCTGACATCGACTTTCTGGGTGTAGCAGGGCGTGCTACTTTCTGAAGCGACGACTTCAAGGTTGGATTGATTGATGTCGCAGAGGGAGATTGAAGCGCCGAGGGAGGAGAGCTTCAGAGCTGTTGCGCGACTAGTGTGATTTCAGCACAAGGCTATCGTCGAGACTTGTATGAGACAATCGGGAGGAGGGGTCGAAAGCGTACCCAATGCCACTGCCCGCTCCTGTGATAAGAGCAACTTTTCCCTCAAATTCTTTTGTCATGGTAACGGAGAGAGATTTGTTTAGTAAATTCAAGTTCCGGTTAGGGCGCGTGTCAGGCTATAGTCGCTATTGTACATGTGCAAAGGCATGCTGCACATGATAATGCTCCTGTAATGATGTTATCTCGGGAAAAGGTGGGGGTGACGTCGGATACCATCCGCATGACTCGCGCAGGCAATGCATGCATCTCAGCAAATCACTGGACAAGTCTACGTCGCATATACATATGTAAATGTTGAATTTGGGTATAAGCATGCTAGGATGGCACATAACAGTCATCCCGCATTCGAAAAGGCCATTTCTCCGTTCAGTCCGCTCAGCAGTGTATCACCTGTCAAGAACACCGTGCAATGCGATTCTGCAACCAAGGAATAACCAAATGCAACAACATAAATCGTACAGACTGGGAACATTAGGGCTCTCTTTGTTTGTAAAGGCCGCAGCAATCAAGACTTCTGATCGTCTGTTTTTCCTCCCTTCTTGACGACGGCTCGCGATCGAGTCCGTGAGCCACCCCGGTTTGTCGTCTCACGCTCGCTTTCACCATCTGTATCTTGATCTTGCCTCTCCGCATCTGGAGGGTTGAAAACTTCTTTTACTTCATCGTCTCCCTTTTCTTTACCGCTTTCACGCGAACTTTGCTGGCCGTTTGGTCTGTTGTCATGCCTTGCACTGCCCCCGCCATCAAGTACAAGTGATCGCACCTTGCGCACCAAATCGTCCACCTTGAACGGCTTTGAGATGACGTCATCCATACCAGCGTCACGCATGCTTTGCGTTTGTGCTTCTCTCACGTTCGCCGATACGCCTAAGATATGACTGTATCCCGCCTTGCCTTCCTCTTGCAGCTGCCTAATTTCCTGGGTTGCGGCGTTGCCATCTTTGATGGGCATTTCCTGATCCATGAGAATAACATCAAAATAGTTTCTGTCATCTGGACCATTCTGTGCCTGGAGGCCACGCTCGGCAACCGCATCAATGGCTTCCTGACCGTTGTTTGCTGTGAAGACTTGGAAGCCTCGGGACTGGAGTTGACGACGAAGGACTTTCTGGTTGATCAAATTGTCCTCTACAAGAAGGAGAGTGTGATTTTCCTCAGTGCGTGGATCGCTTTGTGACCGCGATATTTCGTGGGCGCCCTCTTCTTGTCTTGATGTCTCTCCTCTGCGAAGATCTGGCAATGTCCTTTCAATGTGCGGTTTTTCTGTCGAGATGTCCTTGACGGCCGATGCAGTTTCGTCGTAACGCCGATCTGCGCTCGATTCTGGGTGTGCCTCTGATCTCTCTTCCACAGGCGGGTCTTTGAGCGAGGGGTTCATCTCTTCTGCGTCTACTCCAGAATGGCTAGACAATGTTTTCGCCTCCGGACGCTCATTCGTTTGCTCTTTAATACGCTGGAGAGTCGAGTTGCTTCGGCTATAGCTGGGGCGAGTCGGCTTCAAGCTAGCGTTCTCCGACTTTTCTGAATTGCTCCGGGATTGGATAGGCGGCCGTCCCGGATCACTTCCTCCGACTGAACGACGCACTTTGAAGAAGAACCCAAATGTCGATCCTTCCCCTTCTTTTGAGCTTACGCCTATGTCGCCGCCATGTAGAGTGCATACTGAATGATCTTAGTAAATGAAAAGTTGGACATGCGGTGTAGCTTGCTTACACTTGCGCGATATGAACAATCCAAGACCGGAGCCTCCGTAGTTTTCCTGTGTTTTAGGTGTTGCTTGCCTGGTGGATGCTTAGTAAGGCGAAACTGGGGGTGATGAAGAAAATTGCTTATACCTAAATCGCTCGAACAACTTGGCTTGGCCTTCTCTGCTAATGCCTATGCCAGTATCCTTGACGGCAACCATTAAGTACATGGCGTCTCCAGAGCCCCATTCTGATGTCATGGTCGAATCCAGATGAAATGCTTCTTTCTGTTCGCTAAAGTAAACGACGTTGGGAGGATATGACGTGGGTCGTTTTACTGATGCGCCCATGGACACAGTTATGTTTCTTTTGCCCTTCTTCCTCGAGGTGAACTTTATGGCATTAGTGATCAGATTTACCAGAACTAAAAACTGTTAGCTCCATACTGAACACGACCCGACACTTCATACCTTGCTTCATGCGGTTGAGATCAGCAACAACAGTGTCTACTTGCTGCTCTTCAAATGAAACATCCATGGCGTAATGGAAATCGATATTCTTAGCTTTGAACTCGGAGTGGAAGACGCGGAGCGCTTGAGAGAATTCCCACTTTGGCCTTGTTTCTATGAGGGTTCAGTGATTGATGCAATATGACTGTGCTGGAGACTCACCACGAGGAACCAAAGATAGCATCATAGAATCTAGCTTAGAGAATGACAAGATGTCATCTACTAGGGTGTTTTGGTGCGAGACGCATAGTAGAATAGTGTCGGCGGCATCTAAAATATCGGCTATTTGATCGCGGATTTCATCGCGGCCAGCGCCAATCTCCTTCGTCACCTCCTTGACCTCTTCAGCGAGATGGAGGACGGCAGAGAGCGGATTGCGGATCTCGTGCGAAACCATGTCTATGAACCTTTCTTGCTGTTCCTTACGCTCCCTTGCCTCATTGGCAGCTTTCTCTTGGGTCAGCTGGGCCTGCTTGATATCGGTAATGTCGATGATGGCGCTAATGTAACCAGCATCGGACTCATCGCTCAAGGGCTTCAACAAGAACATTCTCCATTGCTCACCCTCCATGTGGACGGGCTCGGCAACGTCACACCTAAATTCTATCTGCAACTCTGTTCGGCTCTCAAATGCATTGCGATAGGCTGTCATGACGTCCTCATAGTCGTCTGGATGTATGCTATCTGGCCAAGAACGGAATTCGTTACTTCCCTTGTTGGTGGTAAGCCTGAAGAAGCCGTCATTGACAAACACGGCCTCGGCATCCTTGTCGAGGATTGCCAGGCCGTTGGGCAGCAGTTCTGCAAATCGCTGGAACATGTTTGTCTGCATTGAGTCGGCCTGCTTTGAGTCGGATTTCTTCTGCTCGGAGTCCCTCCCTGCCTGCTGTGACTTGGTTTTCTTTAGCTGGTGCCCTTGATTTTGCCGCGCAAGCTCGTCCAAGCCTTCAATAGGCATGTAACGGTCGGTTCTTTGATTGTCGAGCAGTTGGGCCAAGACGCCTTGACGAGTTCCATCTTCATCGAGTATAGTACTGAGGACGAGCTGCTGGTCTCGGTCTTCCGACAGGGATGCTAGGAAATACCTGGCGGCTAGGCGAAAGGGTCAGTGTGAGAAGGGGCGATTGCAAGGCTACGGTATGATGCTTACCTACCTTGACCGTCCGCCCTCTGAGCACTGTTTTCAGCGACGCCAACGCCTCATGTTCGTAGGTGTCGTGGGCATTGGATGCCTGGCCATCGAGACCACCCCGCGCGGTTTCCCAAGCGAGATTGTGTATAACTGTTAGGTCTTTACCCCAGAAAACAGCCGAGCAGTGGGGCATAGGCAGCACGCATGTGTTGACGAGACATTTGAGGGAGGCTGGCCACGACTCGCGCGGGCCAATTGAAGATTTGGACCTGGAGGGCGTTAACCACGGCGCGCGATGAAGGAGCGAATGGGGCCGCGGTGAGTGCTCACCAGTCTTTGTGGGATAGATTCTCTTCATTCAGGTCGAAGACGGGCAGGCCTGTGGCAGATAGCTTGTCAAGGTTCTCCATGGCGCCTCCGCGGGCGAAGAGTTGGGTAAGATTTCAGGCGGAGGAAACTGGTGCAGCGAGGCTTGTTCAGAGACTGGAGGTGCGCGTGACGTCATAGCAGGGCAGGACAGCCAACATGACCCTACGAAGGCATGTCTGTCAAGACGACGAGCAAGACACTGTGAGGTTGAGTCGCGGAGGAGAGGGCCGAGGGACAGGGTGCACGAGTTGCAGGAATCGATGCGGTCTAGGCCAGCTCATCGCTTGCCATGTTCCCTCTTTTCCATGCGCTACCGATGTTGGCATGACATGGATCGAGTGATGAATTGGTCGTGATCGGCGATTCGACGAGGCACGTCATGGTGAAGGCGACTAATTCGAGCACGGCATGTCTCGCACTAGGTGTGCGCCCTCGTGTGTATAGTCATATACACAGGTGTCTCGGTCGCGGGGTTGGGCCAGGCTGGCGTCGCCTTTGTCCGTCAATATGCGCCTACGGCAGCAACAGAGAGGCCCCGGTCCTGTGTAGAAACCTAGTTCAGCGGCCATGGCCGTCACAAGCAGTGCCTCCGTCGCCATGCCGCATGCATCATGCATCTACTAGATATCTGATCTGACAACGTCGGCGGGGGACATGGCTCATCTCGCCTGCTGGGGGCACAAGTACTGTTAGTGCGAACGTCATTCCCTGCTTCACCAAGCACGCTACAGGCACCAGGGACCGCCTCCACCAAAAAGGGAACTGGGCGGGCTTCCCATTGCCATGATTTTATGGTTTCGGAGTGGTGCAGGCAAAAGTCCCGGAGAATCGCGTGACCGGAAATATTTTCCTGGGGCCTGAGGTAGCGGGCAAGACAGGGTTTCTGCGAACATGTCAATGCCAAGCCCGTGCAAGCTCGATGACATACCATACCATTGGCTATCGCTGATGCTACCAAACTCTCGAATGCAACAATCCTGCCTCGGTTCAGGCCCTGCATGACTTTGCCTGAGGCTTTTTGTCGCCCTGGCCTTGGATATTAACACTGTCTTCACGGTTCCTGTCCATCGAGGCCATTAGCGTCTTGGCCTCGTCTAGCTTGAGCCTTTGTCTGCCCTTCTCGGAGCGGAAGCCAGGACAGACTCCCTGCTATCGATAACACTCGCATGTATATATATATATATATATATATACGAATATATGGCTAGGTCCAACGGTTTCGGCCCTTATCCGGAAGATGGAGAGGCTCTGGAAGCACATGCATAATCTGTTCCTAGGCGACTTCGGCAGCGCACAACCAACGGGCGGTATGGCGGAAGGAAACCTTGTGTATAAATGTATACAAGCCCATCACGGTCGCGTCTGCACAGATTCAGCAAGGGTGGGATGGGATAGGCACGTCTGTAAAGAGTAGAGGAAACGGCTTGTTCTTGTGCAAAAGGTAAGAGGGAACGGAAGCATGATAACACGGCCCCAGAGTTTATCTGGAAGTCAAATTTTTCGCACAGCCCTTCCTATCACATCAGTCAGTAGGACCGTATTGACAGTGGTGAATTGCTCCGGCCGTACGGGTGGGTTCTCTTGAGGCTAATAGAGTCGAATCGGCACAAACAACCCGAGCCAAAGACGCTGTAAGTTCTGGCCGATGGCTGACCCGGACAATCATGCTGGATACGGCTTCATAGTTTTCGTGTTGTCAACAAAATGCAGCTCTATACACAAGGTTTCATGTCGGTGTACAAAGCAAGAGTGGGAGTGAACGTTGGTTGGTGACAGCGAGGCCGACAAGTGTTCTCACGCCAGGCACGTGTCAAGGAGTGGGGGAGCTTGGGGCTGAAATGGCGGAACGACCCGACCGCCGGCGTAGTTACTTTATACGCGCTGCTTTCCGTTAGCCGCTTGACTCGTATGTTTCACGCTCCGTCGTCTCCTATCTCTTTGTTTCAATTGGTACATAATCCGCAATTTCTGGTTATATGTCAAGACTCCCTACCTATAATTTCCTTACAAAAAAATCAACCACCACAAAACATATCCGCAAATCCTCTATCAAAATGCTCGGCGCACTACCCCTGCCTACACGCAACCTAGCTGAACTCGCAAAAGAGGAAAAGGGCTTCACCTTCAACCACTTCACGTGCGAGCATGCCTGGGTCATTGGAAACATTCTTCGAAACGCTCTCCGCACCGCCGAGTGCCCTGCCCTCATCCACATAGCTCTCTCGACCCAAACCCTCTTCCATGCGCCAAGCCTCCCTGGCATAATGCCCGATCACGAGAAATGGGTCGAGAGAAAACGCAACACAGTGCTCAGATGGGGTCACTCGACATGGTACATGGGCTGCCAATTCGACGACGACTATAAAAAGTTTGCCGAATACCATGCCATGAGTGGAGATGAATGGTCCAAATACACCATCGAAGGAGGCGGATATCCAGTTTTCGTAAAAGGAGTCGAAGGCGTTGTTGGCGCAATTACAATTGCAGGCACGGACATCTCAACCGTACAGGCGCATAGCATTGTTGTTAAAGCGGTAGAAGAGTACAAGGAACTGAGAGATGGGTTTCGAAGTCCCATGAGGCCCGCCACCACCGCCAAATGACTATATGAATTAGGCAGAGGTCAAGGGCTAGGTATTCATTTGTCGCCCAACGACGCTTCCAGAGAGAGCAGAGGGACGAAGAACTGAATCATGCGGGTTCGAATTTGGTCCTTTACTTGATTCGCAATTCGCAGGCTACAATACAGAAGCCGTGGCAGAGTTGCCCACCGACCGAAACCCGAATCGCCCTCCTACCGCATCAAAGGCTATCGAATAGCGGAACAACAAGTTTCTCCCGGTGTTGATATAGGGCAAGTGATTGGGTATCTGAGGGAAAACATAATTGGGCTCAATGGCTGATTTCTCGCCAACGGTGAACGAGCAAGTCATGGCTGGCTGCTCAAGGGATGGAAAGCCAACGGTGATCTTGGTACCTGGCTTCACGCGCTTCACCATCTTCGCATGGCCGTTTGGGTTGGGATTGGGAATGACGATGGTTGGCATCGAAACGCCTTTCTCCGTTCTGATATACATCTGCGCTATGCCAGTGTCGACAAGCACATTACCACAATTCCTTCCCTCGCCATTGACGCTGAAGCACATGCTTGCCATCGCCCAGTCCCTGCTATCCTCTGCCCAGGTCAAACCAGGCTCCAGCTGGGTAAAAGCAAACTCTCGGATTGCTGTTGGTGTCAAACCAACTTGGACACCTTCACGTGATACAATATATCCAGCGTGCATCGTCCCACGCTGAATAGACTGTCCATCAATGGTGCAGAGGTTTAAGAGCGGGTTGACACGAGGTGTTGCAAAGGGCATACCATCCTTTAGGCTGTTTCTTCCGAAACCAATGCCCATGTAGGTGATTTGCGATGTGTCCCGTTCTACGGCTTGCTCACCCTGTGGACCTGTTGGACACTCGAACCGGTCAACCAGGGGATCATACCAAGGGCATCTCCAGCTCTTGTCAACAACGAGCACAGGGACCTTTGCAGTCGCGTATGAGCCACCCTCACCAGTAAAGTTCATGGCTAGCTCCACCAGTCGGCCAACATAGAGGATCTTACTGCTCGTAAAGAAGTGGTGTGCTGGCGTGCCCGCGGTCGATGGTATGTTGGGTAGTATTGGAGCTCCTATCAAAGTCCCGGTTGATCCAGTGTCTACAGGCATGTGGATATCAACGCCCTCGACGGTACACATGACTTGCGGGACATGTTGGGGGCTGAACTCGAAGATAAAGGGAATGAAAATGGAATGGTTGCTTGGTGATATCTCCGTGTCCTCTATGTCCATTGTAATGTTGTTGATGTACATTGTAAAAAGAATGAGGCTGGTAATCAAGCCAATGATGCGCCAGAAGAGTGTTGAACTCTTCAGTCTCCCTTGTGTAGGTGTTGAAGGTGTGGGTGTCGACAACAAGGGTGGTGCCGAACGTGTTATATAGTCGTCGGGCTTCATGTCTGTTTATAGGTGCGGAGAAGGCGTGCATCCGCTGGCATAAGCCACACGGATAACGCCAGGTTCGTGTCTATACCGTTTCCGAGGTATTGGCGAAGCAACTCGAGTGGAGTCAAGCACAATGCAGATGCCAAATCATCGGCAGATGAAATAAGCACTGTGGTAGTGCCCCGACGTGACGTCCGCGTAATGTGCAGACAGCGGCCCTTCCCCGCAATACCCGAAACTCGATGCGATCTGCTACTAGTCAGGCACAACATCTTTCTTCATTTCCCAAGTCAGCGCACCTCACCCAATGACGAAAGTCTCAATGGATACCAACCGGCTTCTCTCCACTCCACTACTCAAGACGATGTACCAGCCGTTGATCGTCACGTGTGCGGCTGCACAACATGGCCGGGGTATTAGCTTAGCCACTGTTCAGGCCTGCAGCTAAAGGCAGCCGCCCACTTTCATAGACACGTCCAAGCTGTACATGTACAGCCCGAATAGGAGAAGACTCGAAACTAGACATGGTTTTTGGCGACTCAGGCAATTGCACGTATCGGCCTTGACGCGCCTCTCGTCCCAACCCGACTTTCGCACGCCTCTTGCGCCCAAATACTGCTCCCTCACCGCCAAAACGATACAGCGCAAAACGAAGCAGAGCATGTAGCCAGCATGGGGCGCTCACCATCTCGATCCAGCGACGGCGGCGAGTCCGCGCAGCACGCCCGTGTCGAGCCACGCCTTCTCAAGGCAGTCGAGGACCAAAAGCATGACGATGCCATTGCCATCATCGAACAGGCCAAAGCGAATGCGCAACCCGTCGACCACCTCTTGCGCATCGCGTTGATGCGCGCAGCCGAGCGCGGAAACATATTCATCACCGAGTATCTGCTGAGAAGTGGTGCTAAACCCGATGGTGCGCCGGGAGGAAGGGTGTCGCCCTTGTTCAAGGCAGTTGAGAAGAACCACGTCGGAATTGTGCAACTACTGTTGAAATTCGGGGGAAACGTCGACGCACAAGATAAGCAGGGGAGAACGGTGCTCATGATGGCGGCTTGGAAAAATCACTTTCACATCATGCATGAATTGCTGCGGTGTGGCGCAGATGTCAACCGCAAGGACAGCACTGGGCGCAATGTGTTGCATAATCTGGCAGCCGACAAGCACTGTAATTGGGGACGCGACGTTATAGCCGAGCTTCTCAAACAAAATATCGCCATTGACGGACCAGACGGTCAGGATGACCAGAAGCGCAGTCCACTGCACTGGGCAGCAAGTACGGGGAAAAAAGAGTTGTGCGAATTGCTACTCAGGCGACCGCGACTACCCAGAGCAAACGTCAACGCAATGGAAATCAGGCAGAAGACGGCGCTCCATCTCGCAATTGCACATGGAAGAGACGATATTATCGAGCTGTTGATCAATCATGGCGCGGACATCATGGCCAAGAGCGACGGATCCTGGACTCCTTTGCACAATGCTTGTGAGCAGGGAAACGTCAAGGTGGTGAGGATGCTGTTGGCTGTTGGAGCGAACATCAATGCAAAGCTCTTGAACGGAAAGACTCCCTTGCACGTAGCAGCCCAAGCTGGACATTTGGACGTAGTCAACTGTCTTCTGGAGCGAAACGACGTGAAGCGAGCTGCAAAGGATGCTTTTGGTATTACGCCATTCTTGTGGGCCGCCCAGAGTAAGAAGCCCGCACGCAAAGACATCATCAACCGATTGGCACCACACAACCAGATTGAGGCGCTGAGCGAAGATGCGCTGGGTGCTACCAATGGATTCCACGCCACGATTGTCGATTTTGGCAATTTTCACAACGAGAACAGAGTATCACGCAAGACAGTCTTTGAGTTGTTGTACAGCCGCGATCCGATCAACCCTAGGAAACCTGCAGTCAGTGTTCTGCCCAAAGATTCCAAAGGAACAAACTTCAGGTGGATACACCTGCCAGCAAACAACATGGCCTGGGTGGAGGCATTGCTGACTAAAGCATTCATCGAGGAAGGAGCCACCGACGTTGAGGGATTCAAGGCGCTGGAACGGTCCTTTAGTCACCAACACCGTGGACAACAAGTACACTCGCATTTCATGAGACCATTGTGCCAGAGCACGCCACGTGCTCCAAAGAATCATGATGAATCAGACCTTTCTGATGGTGGTGACCCAGGGGTTCCGCATATCACCGTTAGTAATGGCCTGGGCTTAGCTATTGACCCAGCAGTCGCCATGCAAGACTCAACCTCGTCGCACTTTCCCAAGACACCTGCACGGACAGGTACAGCCAGCACAGAACAAACGGATTGGACTGCCGGGACGGGCCCGAGCCATGCGGGTAATAAAGAAGTAAAAGGAAAAACAAAAGAGAAGACGAAGAAGGCGCAAAAATGGGGCGGGGCGAAGCCGGCCGGCAAGCGGACTGGCGGCACAGAAACACCTACCAGAGGACCCGAACACTACGCAAAAAGAACTCACACAAGCTCTTCTCTCACTCTCAGCGGCCACCTCAAATCACCTGGCAGTCCTGGACGTAAAGACCCAACGACGGTGGCGAAGGGCAACATATTTGTCTTTATGCCATATCTGCACTTTGAGTCTGACCGCCGGCGTCAGGAAATGCAGGCTGCGATTAGGAAAACACAGATCATCAAGGGTTACGAGAAGAGTGATGGACGAGCTAATAGGCCACCCCCTCCACGCGCAAAAACGTACGATGAGATGCTACTACGAGCTCATCTGACCTCTTCGCAAATTTCACTGCATGTACGGCGTACATTAGATCAGTTCTTCTACCACAACATCGACACACAGTCTCGTGATCGTGATCAAGTTGTTTACCGGTATCAGTGCAAGTCGAATGACCCTCAGCATGTGGATCCGAAGATTTTCATGGTTGATCAATTATGGATGTGGACATTAGGTAAGGACTTGATTGTGACCGCTTTTCCTCAGCGATGGCAGCAACCTAGGAACGACCCGCTCAATGTTCTCGATGGTATCATCGAAGACATCAACAACAAGGCCAGAGATCCGGTTCGTAATGTGTACGATCTGGCTATGATCATCTCTGGAAGGTGCAGTGGAGTCTTTGACCGTCACCGTACTGGTGACGAGGACTACCAGTTTCTTGATATGTTCGAATCCAGCATAGGCGACGCTACTGAAATGGAGACAATTCTGTTCAAAGAGTTCAATACAGCTTCTGCGCAAGCATCGGCATGGCTACAACACCACCGTCGGCCCAACCGTTTCTCACGTCATCTTGAGGCAGAGGGAAGACAAAGAGAGCACAATCGGCGACATGTGCCGCATCACTCCCATTCACACGCTTTGGCCGACCCTCCGATCCGCGAGGAAGAATTTGACTATGATGATAGCGACCGATCACCTGCCCACGCTCCCCTATTTGTCGACAAGCTACTGGACATTGGTGCCGAGACAGACCTTTTGGCTGAGATCAAGGATATTCGCGATGAACTGAACATGATTTCCAAAGTACTGGAAGATCAGCGTAGCGTACTTCCTGACATGGAAGCCAGTATCACAGACATTTATCGAGAGGAGCACAAAAGTCAGCAGGATATAAAGAAGCGGTCTAAGGATCTCCTCAAGACAATCGACATCCACCTCAAAGATCTTGATCGTATGAACAGGCAAGCCAAGCGCATCTATGATTCAATCACCGACCTGCTCGACCTGAAGCAGAAACACGCCAACGCTTTCGAAGCGCGTTTCGCTCGCGATCAAGCCGCAGGAACTGCACGTCAAAGCCAGACAATCATGGTCTTCACCATTGTCACAATCATCTTCCTTCCCCTCTCCTTTATCGCCGCCCTGTTCACCATCAACATCCAAGAATTCCCCCACTCGCCTGGCAGCAACGAGCCCTCACTCCCCTTTTCCTATGTCGGCAAATACATGTTCGGCATCGGCCTCGCAATCTCCATCCCCTTCATAGCCATCGCCCTCTCCTTTGACGCAATCGGCGACTTCTTCCGCGAAGTCAAACGCAGATTCCGCGATCGAAAAACGAAGGCCCAGCGCGCCCGTGTAGAGCACAATGATATGCTTACAGACCCTTATGCCGGCATCGAGAGACTCGACTACGGCGATGCGCTCGATACCCGTACTATCGAGGAGGCCCTCAGCCGCAGCCGTAATCGTAGCCCAGCCTACCGCCCCGACGGACGCCGCAGTATCGAGAGCTACCTCAGTAGTGCGCGTGCGAACAGGTGGAACGACGGCGGCTCCTTGCTTCCCGTCACCAGTCGCAGCACTACTGCCCGGAGCGGCGCCAAAGGCGGCATGACCGTCCTAAATGGCCTAGATGGCGCCACGAGTCTGAATCAGCGCCTCAGTGTTGATAGAGCGGAGAGACAGGCCCCCATTGAGCGCATCAGTACCGGCTTTAGGATGAGGAATAGTGGTGACTTTCAACGTTGAGTCATTTGCTTTGTTGTGACGCAAGCCTGTTATATATTGGTACATACTCAAGGTTGTTTGAGATTTTAATGATTCTCTTTTTTTCGTTGTTATTGTTCTAGATACCCTTACCCTTAGTTATATACTTATGTCCTTGTATGAATATGAAAAAAAAAGCAACGTACACGATTTTACACACGAAACTATGGATTCGCCAATCCCATTTACCCCCTCCCCCCCCCTTCTGTCCAACTAAAAATATATCACGCAATATACTTCTTCACTACGGAAAATCACTAATGGCTACCCCTTTACCTTTATTCCTGGCAGCATAAAACTCCGATTCTTAATTCCGAAAGTAATGATTATCAGCTGATACATTACTTATGTATATACAAACCGGCGGCTAAATTCCCCCTCCCCAAGCCCATGGCCCCCCACAAAAGAAAAAAAACGGTCGGCGAATATTCTTTAGTGCAAACGCGCCTTTGTTTGACGGAATACGATATCTCGATCTTGATCTAACCATATAAGAAACTTAGTACGAGTAGAACCTTTTCACCTTCACCTTCACCGGATAACAACAAGTGTACTATATAAGCAGTAGTTTAGAAACTTTACAGCGTGTAATTAAGATAGTTCTCATAAGTAACTCTAGCCAAAAAAAAACATTTAACTTGTTCCGAAATGCACAAGGGTAAGATCTGATAAATAACCGACAATGAGGACCACCGATCGCTTTTTTAAAAAAGACTAATCCCGCCCAGTACTAGATGTCATTTCTCTTTCTTTCTTTCTTTCTTTCTTTCTTTCTTTCCCGGTACTACCGACCCTATGGACCAAGTAGTAATGCCGCAATAGCATCAACACAGGCATAAAACCTCTGGCACACATCCGGTTGCGCCAGATATGCCGACGTCTTCTCCTTGATGATATCCTCATGGCTCCATTCCTCCAGCGGAACATCTTCAAGGCCTGTGACATCGAAGCGGAAATACTTCATCCAGTTGCGTTCGATGAGAGCAGCGTGATCGGCTTCGAAGCGTTCGCCCCAGCCGCGAGCTTCGGCCTTGCGGTCTTCGACGCTATTTGCCATTTCGGGGATTTCGCGGCTGCGGTCGAGGCCGACGCCTGTGCCGACCGAGACGATGATCATCATGTCGTTTGCGTAGCGGAAGAGCTTGCGGCATTCGTAGAGGATGTCGCGGACGGGGTTGTTCTTGGTGGTGCCGTGGTCGACTAGGCCTTTTTCTATTACGAAGCGTTGTGGCACAGCTTTTTCGGATTGGATGTATCTTGGGGCTGCTGAAGTGGCTTTCATTGTTTGCCATATAGGCATGTCTGGTTCCAGATCTGGGCCTGTGATGCGCCGTGTTTGGTATGAACGTATTAGTGCTGCTCGGTTGGTGCCTGGTTATTATCAGTACGATCACTACACGAAAGAGAGCATACTACTAGAGTACGTACCGATATCCATTTGTGTTGTAATGGCAAATCTGCATATAGCGTTAGACATTGTATAGAAAGACAAAAACGCTGCTTACACATCGCCCGAATCCGGTCGTCCGTCGAGCAGAATCTCGTCTGGGTTGCCCAGCTCCTGTCGGACAACACTCTTGATCGCATCTTCCAGCGCACTATCATCAACACTTCGTACTTGTGCATGGGGATCCAAGTACTTGAAATAATCCCTCTTGTTTGCAAAGACCTGCTTCGCAATCTGCTTATAGGCTTCCCTAGCTCGGTGGGCCTGCATCCGAAGCCGGCACAGCATAATGGCTATAATTCCTCCCAGAGAGCATCCTCCCGTCAAGTCAAAGATTTGGTGGCTGTCTAAGCGCTGCCCGACTTTGACACAGATTGCATTAACAAGTGATTCGACCAAGAGTAAGGCAGACAGTCCTCTGATACCGTCACCGTCGATTGAGAGTAGGATCTTAGTTTCTCTGGTGCGTGAAAGAATTGTCTGGGCTGGTAGTACTGGTTTTGATGATGGATCCCGAAGCGTAGGATCACATGGAACTTCTGCATGTTGAGGAGGTGACGGGTGGCCATTTGCATGGCTGTTGTGTATCGGAGCCAGCGGAACAAAGTTTGGAGGACCAGCAGGAGCCTGATTTGCACCATTCTGTACTACAGACCGACTTCCATAGGGAGATGCATAACTAGTGGAAGTGTTTGGTAATGGAGGCGTACTGTGGTCGCGTGGCGACGCTGAAACGGCATGCTCAGCCACAGTGGACGGCGAAGGGGTCACCAGATCAGCCACAGGTTGCTTGATTAGTACTGGTGGAGGTTGACTGTGAGGATAGGCTGAAGTCAGTGGTGGCGGACCCGTTGAAGGAGGTGGAGACGGCCACGGAGAATATTTGGAATATGGATCCCGAGCGAGTCGCGTCTCGGCTTCCTCAGCAACGCGTCGAATGTCTGGATCCCGAGCCTTGCTGGGCCATATTAGCATGAGCGGGCGAGGATAATGTTTGTGAGGCGCGACATACTACTTGACATAGCTAATGTCCCAGGGCTCCCAGCGGCCAGAGAGGAGAAACTGTATCGAGGAAGGATATGCGGGGTCGTGGAAGTAGTGTGTGCCCTCTACGGGAGAGTATCGGACACAGCTAAAGTCCACCAGAGCCCACGACATTCCGCTGGTCTTGTTACTTGTATGGCGACTAGGCTTCTGTAGCGTCAATTAATCAGAATTGAGGTAACAAACGACCTTGTTCTGAGCTCAACGAGAGTAGCGGTGGGCCGACAGCATGCCCGATAAAGATGCAGTAAGACACTAGCTGCCGGTGAGTGCTGGGCGGTTGATCAGGACGAGACAGCCACAAAGAGGGCGTAAGTAGGACCAATCAGGCAGAGTCAAGCGGCGCGCGTACAAGGTTTGTGCAGTGCCAGCCCATTGAACGGTACGTAAGGGCATGGGTAGTGTATCTGCGACAATGCGGCCGCGTTTGACCGGGCAGATAGGCTGGGCGATGGCACTCGGCAAATGGCGTGGTTAATGACATTGCGAAGCCGGGGCGGAGGTGATGGCCAGCTCATCCCTGCCTGGGCCTTTGCCGGGTCATGGCCGAGAGGCGGCCTTGAGATGTTGCCAGGTTGGGCAGCCGGATACAGCCGCGGTGGATGATTGATTCGGACGACTGATGGCATTTGCTGTGTAGTAGAGTAGCAGACGGACCAAGGCTGGTAGCCTAGTGAGTTGGCGGCGTTGACAAGGGGCCACGCCCCCGCGGCCCGTAGCCGTACCGGTTGTTCGGTTAGCCGCCCCTCATGACCACTGTGCTGTCCTCTGGTGCTGCTGCTCTGCCTTCGATCTCGCACACCGCATGCCAGCCTTGAGATCTGTCTTTATTTAGTCGCTATATACTTACCTTTTGGGCACGCACGACAGAAGACGTGGCAGTGATCGACTACCGCCCCAGAATGGTCACGTGACGCCCTCAGCGCATCTCCGCGGCTAATCTTCCAGCCTGCATAATCCTCACTTGTTGCTGTGCACGACTTGCACGTACGCATCTGGTATTCCGGCTACGACTGTATGCTACAAAAGCATGGACATAGTCCACTTGGCAGTTTCCAAACACCCTGCCACGCCAAACCCCGTAACGAGGTCGTGGGATGCTTGGCGCTGCTTGACTACAATTGCGCAATGATGGGGCCCAGGGCAGGCCAGGACCAATCGCGTTACTTGGCTATTTCAACCGCAGACTGTTCGTGATGGAGTCATGTCCACCACCGTACGAGAACCCGGCCCCCGGACTGTAAACGCCGTATGCGTTGGCGCACTCACTTCAAGAGCAGTAAGAGCCAGGAAGCGTTTCGACTTTCCCGATCGCGGATATGCTGCTGTATCAAATTGACGATGAGGCTCAAGAAAACAAGATCTTGCCCCTGCTGTAGCTTGGAAAGGAATATTGGTTGCCGGAAGTATTGCAGGCGGGAGGAAGGATTGCCGAAAGGAGCAACCAAAATGAGTTGGATGCCTGGTTGAATGCGATTCAGCTATCCAAGTTTTATCATCTTACCAGACAACCATGACGCTACATCATACGACAACTCCCTAGCCACCTGTGGGGGAAAAACGGTCTTTTACACTTTCGCCCAATCACGACTCCAAGGTATCGGGTGACTCTCGTCCTAGCCAAAGCTCAGAGAGAAGCAGGTGAGACAGGAAAGCAAGCCGACTTCCGCCAAACACACAGTCAGTGTCAAGTACAGGTCTGAGAGGTCGGTTGTGGTTCCGAGCTATAACATTTGGGTAACATTTAAAGACCCAGAAGAAGCGGGGAGCTTAACAATAAGGTAGTCTTGCGACACGTCTCCATTTGAGGACACATCCGACGCCAACAAAGGCATCTTATGCGATACAACTGGTGGTATTTAAACCAAGGGCTGGTAAGTCCCTATACACTCTTGCTCATCAAGTAGTTCCTGTTCCTTGTACGCAGACCAGTCAACGTATACCGATCCAACACTGGAAGATACCGTGGCTTTTATGCCGATCAATGTACTCATGTAAGCCCTAGTTGGCCTAGCGAGTAATACCTCAGGACTCTATATCCACAGTGCATGTGGTGTCAGTACGCGCTTGAGAGTTGGGTGTATAATTTTTCATCACAATGCGGACTCAAAGCGCGGTTCTGCATCCCGTATACCGTTTGTACACGTACAGGTGCACTCATGCAGGTGGCATATGCAGTTAGTGGAGCGCGTTGGCTTTGTGTCCACGTTCATGGTGTGAGAGCAGCGGGCGGATAGATATAAGAAAATCCAGTCGGTACAAGGTACTAGTAGTAAGCAAAGGAATGCGTCAGACACAAAGCCAATCGCCCAGAAACTTTTGTGTCCAGTAAGAGAAGCGTTTCACTTGCTGAGCTTTAAAGCCGCGCTCTAATCGACCTGTAAGCTTACACCTCATGTGAAACAAATGCGTAACAACGCCCAACTTTGGTTTTCGAAGCATATTCATTTCTCGCCGAGTCAATTCGCTATGAAGACTCTAGCTTAGTTTGTTCATGCAGCCCATGCTCATTTCATATCATGAGCTCCGAATCCCACAGAAGATGAACCGAATGAAGTTGAACTCCGAACCAATTCACATGCAGCACATTTTCCAGCCACTCATAATCTATGCCTTCTCAGCAGCAGCGGCCTTGGCCTTGACACCCCTGGGCTTTGATGGCTTGTCAGCCTTGACGGGCTTCTGGCTCTTGCGGATGGCAGAGGCCCTGGCGACGGCGTCCTTGCGGAGGTCGGGGCGGTAGTTGCGCTTGGTGGTGGCGTTGACAATGGCAGAGTAGGTCCTAGAGCCGTCAGCAAAACTCCCAGGGTATCCCCAGGTATCCTCATGTTCGGCTACCGGGGTAATGGTTCGAAGAGACGTACTTGCGGGTGGACTTGCTGGGGCCGAAGGTGGTGGTCTGGATGGCGGATGCGGGTTGGTGGTGCTTGTCGGCCTTCTTGGTGAGAAGAGTGACACCACCCTCCTTGCCGGGGATGACACCAATAGCCTGATTCACATTATCAACACCGTCTTCTGGGTTATCTGCTGTTCGCGCTTCGCGTAACCGAAGATCGTGGTGGGCGTACCTTGTTGGCGATTGAGCCCTCGTTCTGCGCAAAGTTAGCAAAACACGGCCCAAAATCCGAAACTGACTGCATACCTTGCGGCTGTAAAGGTTCCTCAGGTTAAGAGGATCGCGCGAGAACTGGACGCCATTTGCCCTCTTGACGAGCGTAGAGCTGCGTCCCTCTGCCAACTGTCAACGCCTATTCCTCCATCTTTCGTATACCAGTTTCTGTTCACTCACTGGTAATCTCCCAGGCAAGGTCGTGCGAGATAGTGGTGGCCATTGTGTCTGTATGGAATGTGGATACGGACGATGTCAATGAAAGTTCGCCAATATTGAAAGGTAGGGCCTCGTCTGCATTTCCGCATGCGCTTAGTGCGTGTTTCGGGGATGGATCAACATAGGCGCCGACGCTGACGCTACTGCCAAGCAGCGGAGCGGAAGTGACGACGCATGAGCGTGAGGCGCAGCCTAAGGTTCAGGCCGTGACAGCCGAAACGTCTTGTCCGCGACTCCGTTGTCACGCATCACCGTCGTCCGGGATAACCGCATCTATGTCCCTGCCTGTGGCGTGAAGACCCCGCGTCTCCGCATTACCCTCATAGCCCATCACACATCCGTTTCCTTTGTTCTTTGTCATCTCTCTCACATCGCGTTCCTTGCAGATCGATAGAGCATACTCGTAACCATCCGCTCTGTCGCATACACCACAATCCCATCACCAAATCACAAGTACCATCGCCAATATGGAGTACCTATTCTACTCGGTCTGCTTCTTTGTCCTGGCCCTTGCAACAGGTACTTTCTTCGCATCCCACCTCACTGCTGGTACTAACACCCCACAGCCGCATACTTCACACGGCACCGTTGGATCCACGTCCTACCCATCCCTGAACCCATCTACTCGCGCCTACCAACCTCCTTCCGCGACGATATCGAAGCAGGTCTATCGTCATCAGCATTTGACCTCAGTGGCAATGTAGAATCTGGCGACTCGCGCCAAGGCCTAGATGACGCGGGGAAGAAGGAGGTCATGCGCATCATGAAGCGACAAGGCGTCGACTTTGACGAGGCGCGCAGAATATACATGCAGGATCGATTCAAGAAGAACAACATTGGAGCCGACGGTATCCCCCGCGATCCAAAGTTTGTCAGCTTCTCGTAATAATGGGCAAGGACGTGGAATGGGGGCGATGCATCACAGGACTATCTCGTACATCATTTCTTTTGTTTTAAGTCTCAGTTTGACAAGTTACTGCTTTTCATTTGTTGCCTCGAGTGGGCTAGTTATATGCGGCTTGGGATGAGCAGACGTACGTGGATCTGCGCATATGGGTTTAAGCGCCTAGTGTCTTTGCTTTCTTTCATTTCCGTCTCGTGTTCCTTCTCTTCTACTGACTTTTACAGTGTTTCCTCAATTAGATCTTCATATGTCTCTGCGCGAGAATTATGCTACTGTGTACCTTGCTTTCTACATGTGACTTTGTGCTCCAACGTCGGAGTAGCGTCCAGGGATCGACACCGGGACGAACTATATCGCATGCTAGTGGTATGGCTGTAGGCTAAACTTATTACTGATCCCTAGTACGTGCCTGAAGCATCTATGGTGGACGCGCCGAGGGCGCAATGCCTCTGTATGCAGCAATAGGCCTGTTGCTGCCTGTTCTTACACCCGATCATTACTGTATCTACCTAGGCGCTTGTGCATAACCTGGAGGGCCTCCAAAACCGGGCGGAGGGGCCCCAAAGCCTGGTGGTGGAGCTGCAAATCCCGGAGGGGGAGGGAAGAAGTTGGTTGGGGCACCGCTCGGTGGGCGAGCAGGCAGACCCGTTGGAGGAGGAGGGAGTGACGGGTGGCCGATGGGAGCAGCAGAGGGTGGTCTGCCATAACCTGCGGGTCCGTTGGGTACAAAGCCAGGAGGTCCGCTCGGTGGTCCATATCCTCCTGGCCCGCTTGGCGCGCCTGGTACACCTCTTCCATCTACAGGCATAGCTGGTCCCGTTGGAGCAGCGCCTGGAGGAAGCTGGAAAAGATGTGCTGGCAGAGGCTGAACAGCAGGCGCAA